CCGATCGAAATATTGGTTAAATGATTAATTTATATTAAAATTTTTTGTTCTAACAAAAAAATGAAAGGAATGAGACTGACAAAAACAAAATCTGCATTCATCTTTTTGTATGAATCACGTGACAGATATATGACTAAAATAATAGGAAGACCGTGAAATTTGTTAACCTAAAAAGGAGTAGGCAAAATCTCACAACAGACATATCAGAGTAAATTTAAACTTTATTTTTTTCTCTTTTCTTAATTGGAAATGTGATGATTTAACACTTTAGACCTACAAAGTAAAAGGACAGGAAGAATATAAAAGTTCAATACCAGGTAGGAAGATTTATTTTAGTATATTTCTTCCTGGCAAGTTTGCAATTCGTTCTGCTGCACTTTACAAATATTTAGCTAAAACGTAATTAGAAATCATTATAATACTATATTATGAACTCATCTTTTGGTTATCCTCATGTTGTGCTCAAAGCAATGGTGTATAGGGAAGGGTTTCTGTGCTGTTTCTATTTTGTTGTTTATTGGTCATTTTCAAAACGACCCAAAAATACCAAGTTATATACATGTTTAGCTTGATATGAATTTTTTCATGATAGTAACATGAATATTGATTTTTTTTCAATAAGGCAAAAAATATTCAACCACCTATCCATAAAATGTGTTATGAGAAAATGATAAACTTTCATGCATACAAATCTAGTAAGTGTGATTATAAATTGCAAAAATACCGTCAAAAATAATATAAGTTGCATGTGTAAATAGTACAATCAAGGTTTTTAGAAAGCATTTGTACCTCTTTACAGATTGGCGGTATAAATGGAAAAAAATATTACAAAAGGTACAAATAATTTGAAAATTACTTCACTTTGAAAAAAAAAATTAATGTTAATTATTCAAATAGAGCCATGCACTCTATTCACGTAATAAATATATTTAGTTGTACATTTTAGAGGATTGATTGCATGTTGTTTAACGTACCATTCGAGAATTTTTCACTCATATTGGGACGTCAACATATGCCAGTGAAGGACTTCAAATCTTGACCTTTACTCGGGACTCAGGGCCATGGAGCAATGAAAGGTTCTTTAATGTGCCAATGCCTACCATGACCGGGATCTCGATCTTAAGGTCTCATTTGAAAGACCCTCAATTTTCTCTTCAAGATGCCGAGCGCTTTGATAAAGAACAGTTCCTACCTATTTTATCGACTAAGGGTAGTCGCGGCCGGGGTTCGAACCCACGACCCTCCGATCACACAGCGAGCGCTCTACCAATTGAGCTTCCGTAACGGTTACTTTTTTTCAGGAAAATAAAAAAATAAAATAAGTTTTTTTTTTACAGCAGGAATATTATATATATATATATATATATATATATATATATATATATATATATATATATATATATATATATATATATATATATATATATATATATATATATATATAAAATATATAAAGCACAAAGAAATTCACTTTTATAAGGTTACCCACTTCCGCCCAAGCCCGGGGTTGAACTCTCCACCTACGGAATCTGTCTCATAGCAGTAAAAGAACAGCGCGCTAGACCGCTCGGCTATCTAGGCAAGTCAAAAAACTTGATTTCGATGCCGATGGAATTCTCTCGGCGCTGCTGTACACTACACGGTCATTGAGAATGGAAGTGAGATACAGTTATTTGGACATTAGTTTTATTAGAGGACAGTTATTTGGACATTAGTTTTATTAGAGGATAATCTTTTAATAATAATAAATAATAATAATAAATAATATTTCATTCATTTTCTTGAAATATAAAAATTTTGCCATTTAGTTTTTGTTTAGAAAATGAAAGACCTAGTAATATTTATTGTTTTAACGAAAATTAATATTCCATGGAAACTTGTTGTACATATAATTGAGGCTAAAGAATAATCGATATATTAACTGGTATCTTATAATCATTCTTAACGTTAAAAAACACGTATACAAAATTTTATTTATGAACAAAAAAATAACGTATTGTAAATCATACTAGAAGATCATAGCATTCAACGATGTGGCTGAAATTTATCTTTTTAAAGATCTTTAAAAATATATATCAATGTATGATAGAACAATGGCAAAATAATGAATGATTTATTTGGATTTGTCAGTTATTAAATAAAAGATTTCCAATTTTATCATACAGTCATGATAATTTAAAATTTAATTCAACACAGTATGACACAGAATAATTTGAAACACGAATATTTGTTGGATGGTACTGAATTTTTTTTTCTAATAATTCTCTCTTTTTTCTTATCTTTTTTTCTGAAAATGATGTGTACGCACTTGCGTATTTGCGTATAGGCAGCTACGCGCCTGGTATCTGTTAATCATAACTATAACACTAATATTCCGAAAAAAAATCTTGAATGTACACTAGATTTTTTATCTCTCACAAAACAAAGAGGGTTGAATTCATGTATGGTGACAGGGAAGTTTTGGCGCATGATAAAACAAAAATCTACAATAGCGTGCTATTTGAATTTACATGACAAAGATATGACTGGAAAACAGGAAAACAGTGCTTGAAATTGTGTTTTGCTAAAAATGAGATAGACATTATATGACATTTCATAGTAAATTAAAATTTGTTTCAGATTTAAAGTAAAGTAAAAAAAAAGAAAACAATTGCATTGTTTAAGCTACTAAAAATCCCGAAACATGGAAACTGTCCAATAGTATCAATGTTTTTGAAGAGCATTGCAGGAACTATCAAAGCAGAGAATATCGGAAGTTTTATTTTAAATAGCTTGAGTCGAAATCACGTCATAATGCTAACATAGATCATTTTAATAATGCTATTTGAGAACTTATTGAGTTATTGAATAAATAGTAGAAATAGATCCTTGGTAATTAAAAGTATTAACTAAATGGATCTTAAGTTCAATGGCTACCCTGCCTCTAAGATTTTGAAGCCTTTTAAAGTATAAAATTCGATATCTGTATGATATATAACGCTATTAGTATTTGCGAAAATATTATGGTTATAAACTAGATATGGATCATATATTTATTTTACGGGCCTTTGAAACAAAATAGAAATATATCCCTGTTAATTAAAAGTATTACCTGAATGAATGTTAAGTTCAAACTCAAACTCTTTAGTGGCTACCCTGGCTTTACGATTATGGGGTCATTTGAAGTATGAAATATATGGAGATAACAAACAGTACTCAAAAGTCCATTAAACGAAGAGTTTGATGCCCAGTGGAACAGATGGAAGCAGCTTTTTTCTTAACTCTCTCTCTCTCTCTCTCTCTCTCTCTCTCTCTCTCTCTCTCTCTCTCTCTCTCTCTCTCTCTTTTTTCTCTCTCTCCTTTATCTCTCTATTTATTCTTTAAAATACACATCATTTTGTATTAACTTCAATGTACAATAAAGTAAAAGCGATGTGAATAAAAAAAAAAATTAAAAAAAAAAAGTCCATTAAACAATACAAAATAGGGACAGAGCAAACACGGACCTCCAAAACATCAGAGGTGGGATCAGGTGCCATGGAGGAGTGAGCATTCCCTGCCGACCGGTCACACCCGCCGTGTGTTCCTTGTCATGATCGGGAAATCACGGAAAAATCAGTGTGTAAACTCAATGTGTAAATAATGGCCTAACAATTAGTATGAAACACGTCAGTCAGCATTTGACTCAATGATAAATTGTATTTGCTGACAAGGTCATTGTATCGACCATAGAACTTACGAAATTATGACTTTGAACGAGACTGCTGAAATTCCTGTTTCATTAACTTGTTTGTCACTAACTTACCTCGTTTTAGAAATTGTACATACGTAAAGCATGCTCTTGCGTATCGAATCAACTGAGAGATATAAACCCTGTATGCAGGTGATGAAGGTATATTGCTGCATAAGTAAGGGAAGTTGACGATTGAAAAGTTAAAGTCATCACGTTTATCATAAAGCTTGGTTGTTAGATTACCATTAACGTCTTTTTCAAGTAAAAGATCCAAATATGAAACAGATGTGTCAGACTCTGTAGTATCCTTTATCTCAAGCTCACCGGGATATATCGTATCGACATAAGAATGGAAATAACCATTGTTAATTGACAATAAGTCGTCGATATATCTAAATGTCAAGTTGAAGGCCACGGCAAGTGCTTTCTTCTTTTCACGTATAAGATTTTGGACAAATTCTTCTTCATATGAATACAAAAAAAAGGTCTGCTAATAACGGGACGCAATTGGTACCCATGGGAATTCCAATAGATTGTTGGAAGACCTGGTCTCCAAAAACCATATAGATAATGTCAATCAAAAACTCAAGCATCTTTTTAATATCAACTTCAGAGTACTTGTGTGTACAATCAGAAGGTTTTATAACAAAATAATTTTGCAAATGACCAATGACAAGGTAAGTAAATTTACGAGTTCCATTTTTACTGAAAAAGTAGCTGTCAATGATATCAAAAAGCCTGGACTTTATTTTATCGTGGGGAATGGTTGTGGATAAAGTTGAAAAGTCGTAAGTTTTTAAGCTGTTGATTTTGGTAGATTTCTTGTGATTTCAAATTTTCCAAAAGTTCTTTGGAATTTTAAGTATCCACATTTGATTTACACCACTTCTCGAATATATTGATGCACAGTACTCTTGAAGTTTCTCCTTCACTACTGTTAATATCTTAGTGAGGAGTAAAGAAAGAGGCTTGGTTGAACATTTACTGGAGCCCGCTATGTATCTTTGTTTGTAAGGATTTTTAAGATGTTTCGGAATCCAATATAGATATGGTAATTCAAATTCATTTTGGTAGTATACAATTCGATACCTGTATTATACTTTTATCTATGAACGCAAGTTACTTTTTGAATCGGTTGAAAATCTCACTTTCTTTTTAAGAGAGACATCAAATACAGTTTGCTAAAACATATAAAAAATCAATCAGGTCATGTTAGACAGGACCTTAAAATTGAAAAAATATTGAATAATAATTTCAAATATTTCAGATTGTGAATTTGTCTACCAAAGAATGGCTTCTGGACCATACCCTGGCGACCGTTCTAGGTTTGCCAAACTCGGAATGGCAATAAACGAAGAATTGACCCAGGCTTGTAGAGATGTCTTAGAAATGGAGGTACCTCCTGGACTTGTGTATAGCAAAGTGAAGAAATTTACCAACGTGTATAAAAAATTACGCAAAGACCAAGAACTTCGACTTACACAAGCCAAAAAGAATGGTTATAAAGAGTTTGATATAACGTTGTTATATACACTGATAAGGAACATATGTACAAAGATTCTAATTCCAACAAAAGGTTGGGGTGGGAACACAATGCCGGCAGTAGGGGATACAACAACTGGAGATGACATTGAGAGGATAAGGTTGATAAGAAACAACATGTTTGGACACATTAGCTCGGCTTCTACCTCAAAGGCAGAGTTTGATGACACGTGGTCAATCATAACTGATATCTGCCAAAGACTGCAAACGTACACAAATAAAGACTACATGTCTGGTCTGAGTAACATTCAAAGTCAGGCCTTAGAAGAGGAAAATGAAAAAGCTATAATTGAAAAACTTGAAGCCGATATTAAAAGTAATACAGATCTTATGGAAAAGATTTCTCCTTTACAAGGTATGAATTCAAAATCCGAATCCTAGGAGAAAAAGAATGTCTACTGTGTACATGTTATCAATAAGGACACAGTGGATTTTAACTTCCGCAAAAAAAAAACAAACAAAAAAAAAAAAAAAAAAAAAAAAAAAAAAAAAAAAAAAAAAAAACACTTCTTGCATAGTTGTTTTTAATCATAATTAGTTTTAAAAATTTCATCTCCACATCTCACAGGTGTGACAGGTCGACATTGTGTAGTTAATTTCCCATATTGATATGGTTGTTGCAACCATAATTTTGTTCTTACCCTGACAAGGAGCACACGGCGGGTGTGACCAGTCGACAATGGAAGGATGCTTACTACCCCTTGCACCTGACCCCACCCTTGAGTTTCTGATAATGAAATTTATACTTTACATATATAACTGTTTTTTATTTTCAGATTTAATGATCAGAATTTGTCATAAGTGCAATCCTTCGTTAAACGATGTTGTTAGAGTGAGGCTGATAAAGCTGATCACAATTCTATAAATTGAAACATATGATTTTTTTATTTAGCTTAAAAATAAGGAAATACAGACTAATTTCGTAGCAGCTACGAATCATGAATAAAAGCTCTTGAGAATACTGGTTATTCTATACGCAATCATCTGGCACTACTTTTTTCATTAATGTGAAAGACATTGATTTTTTTTAGGAATACCAATGATAGCTGAGATTCTCAAAGACTGGCGAGAAGAGAACATTGCTTTTATTCCTACAAAAGCAAGCGGAGTCGTTGAAGAAAAGCTTAAAAGTCATAACCTAGTCACAGTTGTTGGAAATTCTGGATCTGGCAAATCGGCGATTATTCAACATATTGCACTCAAGTATAAAGATCGAGGATGTAATGTCATACCAGTGGATGAAGTTAGAGAAATTAAAGAGAAATATTCAGAAAATGAGACACTTTTTGTACTCAATGATCCTTTAGGTAAAGAATCTTTGGATGAAATTTTGTATACGTCGTGGAAAAAATATCAAAAAACTATAGAAACTTGCTTGAAGAAGGTTAAATTACTGGTGTCCTGTAGAAGATGCGTTCTTTATGACAAGAGAGTGAAGGGCATTTTATTCGAGGAATCCACCATAGTAGAAATTGACAACGAAGAAAATCGACTGAAAGAAAAAGAGAAAAGAGCAATCCTCAATCAGTACACAAAGAATCTGGAGCTTTCCGAAGAAATTGTTTCTGAAATTATCAAAATAGAAGCATACTTTCCATTACTTTGTAAGCTATTTTCTAGGGAAGCAAATTACAAGGAAAATGGGCTTGATTTCTTCAAATATCCGTACAGGTTCATTAAAAAAGAAATTGAAATTTGGAAGGGAATGGACAAGAAGAAATTCTGCGCTCTTATTTTAGTAGTAGCTTTTAAAAACAATCTGAAAATAGAAACAATCGTAAGGAATGGTGATTGTATGAAGAAATATAAAGACATTTTAGGAATGTGTGAGTTATCAGAAAACACACATATTTCGGTCATTCGCAGTACTCTCCAAGAACTTAAAGGATCTTATGTGAAATGTGTCGGGCATGTTTTCCAATTCCTTCACGACTTTATAATGGAGATAACGACTCTGGTGTTTGGTATTAATTGTCCTCAAGAGGCAATACAGTACGCAGACAGTGGTTTTCTTCGACGAAGGATAAAGATAGAGGACGATACAAAAGAGGATGATCGCGATCCCTTCACTGTTTACCTGCCTGAAGAGTACATAGGTGATCTTGTGGACAGGCTTATCATTGACATGCAAACAGAACATTTTGTGGATGTTGTTCTTAACCAATGTTTGAGAAATGAAAGTGTGATCAAAGAATTTAAGGACAATGTTAAATCATCAGAAAATCTGCCAAACATTCTTTTAGATATCAAACATTTAATAGATAAATCAGAGTTAAAAGAAAAAGAAAACCTGTTGAGTGATTATAGCGTATCAAGACTTTTTTTCCTTCATTGGAGAGGTGAAATATGCCCTTTAATTGGATTCATAACATTTTGTCATGACGAAATTTCTCTATCTTTTATAAGAAGCATAGACAAAAAAGCATTGCAGGATCTTTTAGTATTTTCTGCCGTGTGTGCTAATGGAGGATTAAACTTATTAGATAGTCTGAGCCCTGAATACAAAGAAACGGCTATAAAAGAAATTTGGGGGTTATTTTATCCAATCCACATTGCTTCGGTCTTCCATAACTTTGAAATTATTCCAGAGATAGTCAGACTCGGTGCTGACGTCAACATGTTAACTGCTGGGAATATTTGGACTCCGTTAACTTTGGCAGCAGGAAATGATGAAGAACATTTAAGAGAGGCTGGAAAGGAGACAGACGGAGGAAAAAGACGTAATAAAACTATTTCTTGCTTATTGAACAATGGCGCCAAAATCAATTTATGTGACGACGATGGAAAGCATCCTCTGTGGATAGCTTGTCAAAAGGGATATACTAGCACGGTACAAGTGTTACTGAACAATGGCGCCGGCATCAATCTATGCGATCGGGACAAAATCAGTCCACTATGGATAGCTTGTGAAAATGGACATGACAGCACGGTTCAGGTGTTACTAAACAATGGGTCAGATATCGATTTATGTGACAAACATGAAATGAGTCCCCTTTTGATAGCTTGTGAAAATGGACATGATAACATAGTTCAGGTACTACTGAAGAATGGCGCCAATGTCAATTCATGCAATAGGTATGGAGAGAGTCCTCTATGGAAAGCTTGTCAAAATGGACATGATAGCACGGTACAACTGTTACTGAACAAAGGTGCAGACATCAATTTCTGTGATAATGTTGGACGCAGTCCTCTTTATAAATCTTGTCTAACTGAACATGATAGTACGGTACAACTATTACTAAACAATGGTGCCAATGTCAATTTATGTGACGAAGATGGTGCCAGTCCTCTGTGGAAAGCGTCTGAAAATGGGTGTTATAGCACGGTACAAGGATTACTGAACAACGGTGCCAATGTCAATTTATGTGACGAAGATGGTGCCAGTCCTCTATGGAAAGCGTCTGAATATGGGTGTGATAGAACGGTAAAAGATTTACTGAATAATGGTGCCAATGTCAATTTATGTGACGAAAATGGTGTCAGTCCTCTGTGGAAAGCGTCTCAAAATGGGCGTGATAACACGGTACAAGAGTTACTGAACAATGGTGCCAATGTCAATTTATGTGATGAAGATGAAGCCAGTCCTCTATGGATAGCTTGTAAATATGGACATGATAGCACTGTAAAATTGTTACTGAACAACGGTGCCGACATCAATGCATGCAATAGGAATGGAGTCAGTCCTCTGTCCATAGCTTGTCAATTGTTACCTCGCGAAGTTAGGGTCAGTCTTTGGCGGAAAGTTTGTCAGAATGGAGTTGACAACACTGTCGAATCATTACTAAACAATGGCGCCAATGTCAATTTATGTGACGAAGACGGTGTCAGTCCTCTGTGGAAAGCGTCTCAAAATGGGCGTGATAGCACGGTAGAACTGTTACTGAACAATGGCGCCAATGTCAATTTATGCAATAAGAATGGAGTCAGTCCTCTGTGGATAGCTTGTCAACATGGACATGACAGCACTGTTAAACTGTTAATGAACAGTGGAGCTAAACTTCTATTAGTCCATGGCAATGAAATCAATTTTTGCGACGATAATGGAGACAGTCCTCTACACAAAGCCTGTCGAAGTGGCCATGATAGTACAGTTCAATTGTTACTGAACAACGGCGCGAATGTAAATTTATGTGATATAGATGGTTGCAGTCCTCTTTATATAGCTTGTCAGAAGGGAAATGTTAGGATAGTCCAACTCTTACTACACAATGACGCTGGTGTTAATTTATGTGATAATGATGGAAATAGCCCTCTGAATATAGCCTGTCTAAATGGACATGACCACACTGTCAAACTTCTATTGACCAGTGGTGCGCAATTTTTACTTAACAACGGCGCTGAAATCAATCTTTATGATAATGATGGAGAGAGTCCTCTCTTCAAATCCTGTCGAAATAGCCATGAAAGCGTAATCCAGTTATTAATAAACAGTGGAGCTGATGTAAATTTTTGCAATAAATGCAATAACAGTCCTCTCCATATTGCTTGTGAGAGCGGACACAACAGCACAGTCCATCTGTTACTGAAAAAAGGAGCTGAAATCAATCAACGTGATAATGATGGAGAAAGTCCTCTCTTCAAAGCCTGTCGAAATGGGCATGAAAGTATAGTTCAATTGTTACTAAACAGTGGAGCTGATGTAAGTTTATGCAATAAATTCAAATACAGTCCTCTCCATATTGCTTGTGAGAACGGACACAACAGCACAGTCCAACTGTTACTGAAAAACGGCGCTGAAATCAATCTTTGTGATAATGATGGAGAAAGTCCTCTCTTCAAAGGCTGTCGAAATGGGCATGAATGTATAGTTCAATTGTTCATTAACAGTGGAGCTGATGTAAATTTTTGCAATAAATTCAAATACAGTCCTCTCCATATTGCTTGTGAGAACGGACACAACAGCACAGTCCAACTTTTACTGAAAAACGGCGCTGAAATCAATCTTTGTGATAATGATGGAGAAAGTCCTCTCTTCAAAGCCTGTCTAAATGGTCATGATATCATAGTTCAGTTGTTCCTAAACAGTGGTGCTGAAGTAAATTTATGTAATAAACACAATTACAGTCCTCTCCATATTGCTTGCCAATACGGGTATAACAGGATAGTGCAACTGTTACTGAGCAATGGTGCCAACATCAATTCATGTGATGATGATCGAGTCAGTCCTCTTTATATGGCTTGTAGAAATGGACATGATAGCACGGTACAACTGTTACTACACAACGGTGCCAGCATCAATTTATGTGATAAAGATGGAGTCAGTCCTCTTTGGATAGCTTGTGAAAACTTACATTGCAGCACAATCGAACTTCTACTGAATTCAGATGCTGATGTAAATTTATGCAATAAAGGCAACTGCAGTCCGCTGTACATAGCATGTTTCAATGGTCATGACAGCATGGTTAAACTTTTATTGAACAAAGGTGCAGACATCAATTTATGTGACAACGACGGAACCACTCCACTCCACATAGCCTGTGAAAATGGACATTTCAGCACAGTCCAATTATTATTAAAAAATGATGCTTGTGTTAATTTATGTGATAAAGACAATAAGAGTCCACTGTGCGTAACATACTTATATGGTCATGACAGTATTGCGCAACTTTTACTACAAAATGGTGCTGAATTGATATGCTGACGATGGTTTCAGTACTTTCGATTGATTTCTCAATACTAAGAGCGCTCACATTATTTCGAAGATATGGAGCAAAAGTTGATTAAGGCTTTTACTATACCTTACAAAAATGAGCTAGATGCAATCACAGAGTTATTTACAAACTTCCACATGAGAAGAAGAAAACACTTGCTGTGGCCTTCAGTTCGACATTAAGATATATCGACAACGTGTTATCAATTAACAATAGTTACATTCATTCATATGTCGACTCGACATATGTTATTGAACTTGAAATAAAAGACACCACAGAATCTGCAACTTCTTTTTCATATTTGGATGTTTCATAAAATCCTGTTGTCATTATAATGGCATTTTTAGCAAATATAACCTTTCTTTGGGTCTTATTTTGGCAGACGTGTTTTATACCAAGTGAGAGGCTTTTGTTTTTATACTTTTTTGACAGAGGAACGTTCCCTCTATCCAATCAATACATAAGGCTCACGGCGAGTGTGATCGGTCAAAAGGGGATGTTTACTCCTCTTTTGCATCTGATTCCACCTTGGGAGTTTTTGGTGGTCCGTATTTTATGTCCTACTCACAGATATGTATTGTTTTTTTTTTTTTTAAAAAAAGTGTAGATCGATCATTTTTTAAAACTTTTTTTTTTAATTTTAGTGATTACTGTTAATCGCCAAATTTTCTGCGACAATTAATTTCACGAGACGGATAATTTGTATTTAAAAGCGAAATAGATATATTGTAATTAAAAGTAAAACTATTTTTTTCGATTTCGTGTTATTGTTCTATATAATATTTTGAAATAATACTTTTATACGCGAAAATAAAATTTTTGCAAGTAGACGCAAAAATAAAGTTCTCTTGAATAATGATTTACAGTAATTTATTAAGCTTACTTACACTTTAATGTCATTGAGCTTTCTTTTTATTGTACTACTTTTTTTTATTAAAAAGAAAGTGAGTTACTAAAATTTCAGTCTCTTGAAATTTCTTGTTTCAAGACAGCAAAGTCTTTTTAGCTCACCTGAGCCGAAGGCTCATGTGAGCTTTTCTGATCACATTTTGTCTGTAGTCCGTCTGTCCGTCTGTCTGTCTGTCTGTCCGTCCGTCCGTCCATCTGTAAACTTTTCACATTTTTGTACGTCTTCTCAAGTACCACTGGGCCAATGTCAACCAAACTTGCCACAAAGTATCCTTAGATGAAGGGGATTCAAGTTTGTTCAAATGAAGGGCCACGCCCTCTTCCAAGGGAAGATAATAAAGAATTAGTGAAAAATTAATAGCATCTTTTAAAAATCTTCTTCTCAAGAACCACAAAGCCAGGGAAGATGAAACTCATGTGGAAGCATCCTCAGGTAGTGTAGATTCAAATTTGTTCAAATCATGACCCCCGGGGTAGGGCTGGACCACAGTGCAGGATCAAAGTTTTACATAGAAATATATAGGAAAAATCTTTTAAAATCTTCTTCTCAATAACAGCAAAGCCATGATGAGTCATATTAATATGGAAGCATCCTCAGGTAGTGTAGATTCAAGTTTGTTCAAATCATGACCCCGGGGGGTAGCGCGGGGCCACAATGGAGGATCAAATTTTTACATAGAAATGTAAAGGAAAAATCTTTAAAAATCTTCTTCTCAATAACAGCAAAGCCCTAATTGGTCATATTTATATGGAAGCATCCTCAGGTAGTGTAGATTCAAGTTTGTCCAAATCATGACCCCTTGGGGTAGGGCGGGGCCACAATGGAGGATCAAAGTTTTACATAGAAGTATATAGGAAAAATCTTTAAAAATCTTCTTCTCAATAACAGCAAAGCCCTAATTGGTCTTATTTATATGAAAGCATCCTCAGGTAGTGTAGATTCAAGTTTGTTCAAATCCTGACCCCCCGGGGGTAGGGCGGGGCCACAATGGAGGATCAAGGTTTTACATTGAAATATGTAGGAAAAATCTTTAAAAATCTTCTTCTCAGAAACAACAAAGCCCTGATTGTTCATATTTATGTGGAAGTATCCTCAGGTAGTATAGATTCAAGTTTGTTCAAATCATGACCCCCTGGGGTAGGGTGGGGCCACAATGGAGGATAAAAGTCTGAAATAGAAATATATAGGAAGATATCTTCTGATGAAGAACTGCAAAACCATGATTAGTCATTTTGATATGGAAGCATCCTCAGGTAGTGTAGATTCAAGTTTGTTAAAATGATGACCCCAGGGATAGGGATGGGCCATAATGGGGGATCGAAAATTTTACATAGGAACATATAGGAAAATATCTTCTTCTCAAGAACTGAAAACCATGTTTAGTCATTTTGATATGGAAGCATCCTCAGGTAGTGTAAATTCAATTCTGTTCAAATGATGACCCCAGAGGGTAGGGTGGGGCCCAATAGGGGGGTAGAAAGTTTTACATAAGAACATATAGAAAAAAATTTCTTCTCAAGAACAGAAAAGCTATGTTTAGTCATATTGATATGGAAGCATCCTCAGGTAGTGTAGATTCAAATTTGTTCACATGATGACCCCTGGGATAGGGAGGAGCCACAATGGGGGATCAAATTTTTACAAAGGAATATATGGGAATTTTTTTTAAAAATCTTCTCAAGTACAACAAAGCCATTTGTTATATTGGAAGCATCATCAGGTTGTTTAAAATTCAAGCCCCCCCCCCCTCACCCCTAATCTTTTCAATACTGAACTGATTTGTGCTCAGTGGAGCGATGTGGCCCATGGGCCTCTTGTTATTACTTAGTCTTATTACGGGCCGCAAGGAAGCAGTCTATTATTTGATATACATATATTGAATTGACCCGTATTCTTGCAGAATTGATTTGGGGGGGGGGGGGTGGTGATAATTATTTATTTTGATGTAATTAAGGGCTTTAGATGACTGTATAAGATATTTGATGGGTGTTTACAACTCACTGTAATAAACGGTGGATTCACCGAAATTCGTTGGGACCAATTTTCATGGATTGTATAAAATTTATAGGTTCTTGGGGATTAACTTTCGTGTATTCACTAATATATTCACATTTTAAAGGACATATGTCTTTTAAACCTCGGTATATCAATTCGTGGATAAAGGTACGCAAAAATTCTACGAAATAAAGAATTAGATCGCAAAAACAGTATTTCAAAAATTGCATGTCTAGGGCTTTTGTCGATAAATCATTGTTTAATTTTTTTAAATTTTTTTTTTTAAATTTTTATTTTATATTATTTATTTATTTTTTTCTTTTTTTGTACTTCAAAATGTTTGATTTAATTTTGTTTCTTTGATTTGTTTGATATTGTTTTGTTTTATATTATGCTTTGTACATTGTTTGTAATTCTGGATGATTTATTCCCCATTGTTAAAAAAGGAAGAAGAAAGGAATGTAAGAAATAAATCTGTTGTGCAAAATTGCTTTTCTTGAGTTATTAATCTTAGAGTACACATCAATAGGGCTTAACGATTATAGCACCAGTTACAATTTAATTTGAAATTTCAAAAATATGCAATAATTATGGCATAAGTTATTGTGAAACATGCAAGTTTTGTTTGCGTTTGATAAAGTATTTGCATTTTCATGGTTTTAGTTTTTGCAGTTTTATCTTATATATTTATGTTTATTCACCAATCAAAAATGCAGGGGTCTTCAGAGGGAGTTTACAATCATTTCAGTATGATCGCATTATAATGTCATAATATTCCGAAATATTAATCATTTCTGCAATTGAAGCAGAAATAGAAAATGTAAACACAACATTTATGACCCTTTTGAAAATGTGAGATATGTAAAATATCCACAGCTGTATCAAACTGGGTTAAGAATACGAGATAACGAGATGGTGTTAAATATATTAGAAAAAAAAACATTCCTTTCGACGGTGAAAGGCCTGAGGAGGGGAAGTTTTTTTTCTGAACTGTTTATCACTATCAAGTTATTTATCATACTAAAAAATTTCCCCACTTCGGATCCCAGAGAAACATATTCAACTTTGCTGTAATACAATAGGACTAGATCATTTATTTATCCAATAGTGACACAATTCAAGCAAGAATTTCAGCAGTCTCGTTTAAAGTCGTCATTTTGTAAGTTCTATGGTCGATACAATGACGTTGTCAGCAAATGCAATCTATCATTAAGTCAAATGCTCACTGACATTTTTCATACTGATTGCTGGAACATTATTTACACACTGAATTGTCAACGGATTTTTTTGTTTTTTTCCCGAACATGACAAGGAACACACGCTGGGTGTGACCGGTCGGCAGGGGATGCTCACTCCTCCGTGGCACTTGATCCCACCTCTGATGTTTTAGAGGTCCGTGTTTGCTCTGCTCCTATTTTGTAATGTTAAATGGACTTCTGAGCTCGAATACTATTCGTTATCTCCGCATATTTCATTCAATAGCCTTATCGAACAACCCTTATAATCATGGGCTAGAGAGCATGAAACTAATGCCAATATCATTTTAAACTTTTTTCATTAAACTGAGCAGTCATGAGATCAGACAAAGATTTTTTTAAACCCCCCAAAAAATTTAGAGAGGTTCAGATAGTGTTTTGAATATTTTTGACCTGGAAGCAGAAGAAAACTAGAAAATTATGATAAAAAGTTGGACATTTATCATGACATATAAAATGATGATTTGTTGAGGAAAATCGGGAATCATATGGAGTTCCAGTCGGATAATATTTCTAAAAGTGCTTAAACAAATGAATAGAGTGTCGGTGTTTCGCGGAATCTGTTAAAGGGGCTTGGACACAGATTTGAAGTGAATATTTTCTCAAATTTTCTGTGTAATATCATGACTTATAATTTGCTATCCCATTTCACATGGAAATATAATAAAAAAAACTTATTTTATATGGAAATTATTGAAACTACATATTTCGGGATGCGTTCGATTGACACTTTATCCTTAATACGCAAGTATAGTAGAAAAGAACTGCGAACGATAGTATTGTTCTGCCACCTACCTCCAAGTCAAATTTCAAAAGTTAACACATTTGAATGATTTTTCATATTTATATAGTTATTTATGTGAATTT